TTTTTTTTGGCGGGAGGGGGGCGGGGTGGGGTGGGGTGGGAGGTAGTAGTGTGGGTGGTAACAGAAAAACTGAAATACAAAAAAAATCTTTTTTGGAGAGAGGGGGGTGGGTGTGTTGGTGAGGGTGGAGAATGTTGAGAAGGAGTTTTGAAAATTATTTTCCCTTCTCTTGATAAGTAAAACATTTTCCTCCAATTAAAGGAAAATGAGTTAATAAGGAAAATATTTTCCAAAATATTTAAGCCAACCAAACATGAAAAAATTAAAAAATATTTTCCTTCGTATCAAACACACCCTTTATGTTGTCATGACTGCCTAAACAGAGAACAATCTTTATGCAAGTACGTGTCCTGTGATATAGGGAAGACACTTTGTATTCGGTATAAACTAACCCGCACATAAAACACTGTTGGGGAATGGGTTGGTGATATCTTCGTATGGACTTGGTCAATTCTCCGTTCAGAAGCTAACTTTTGGTTTTATTAAGTTATGCCTAAATGTCATAGAACTTTACAAGATCTTTGTTTTTACTTATCAATTTTTGTAAATCAACATAAAATTAGTTATTCATTTCCAATTTTACCCTTATCTTACCATTTTCAAATATTAATTTAGATTAATTACCATTAATAAGGATAATTTAGTAAAACAAATACTTAATTAATATTTTTTAAGAAGTATGCAAGATATATACTGAACAAGTAAAAAAAGAGCTGAGTGAGTAACAAAGACAGCCTCATTTTCACTTAACGCTTAGCATACTGATAAAAAAAAATTATTTTGTGTTTCACACGACTAGTGTGAACCACAAAAGTGTAAGATATAGGTCCACAAATTTGTGAGATAAAAAGAGGTCTCACACAACTGATGTCAGTTGTGAGAGACACACCATAAAACTAGTTTTATGATGATGTATTAAGAGAGAGAGCGCATAGAAGCCATTATAATATATATGATGTTGCTAATCATGGGATGGAGAAACAGAATTTTAACATTTCCATGAGATTTTGAAGATCAAATAGGGAAAACACATATATATATATATATATATATATATATATATATATATATATATATATATATATATATGTTTCAGTATTAATTTCAGTAATAATTCATGCTCAAGTTTATTCCTATACATGTAGAGAGCACATTTATTTTTGAGGAAGAAAAAAGAGGAAGGCAAAATATTCTTCCATCAAAAAGGTTATCTCAATGACTTGTTATGGTTGGAAGGAACAATCTTGATAACAAGACCAGGAAAAACATCATCAGGATCATGAATATGTGGATTCCTTTCAACAATATAAGGATCACCACACTTGTCACTGATTGTATGTAATGTTTCTCCTTCTCCAACTACATATATTTCATCGCATGGTCGATTATGAGACAGGCCCAGCTGCTTTCCTCTGACGACAGAATTTTCCCAATTCCTAGTGTTGTTTTCCTTAACAGAACTCATCAATACAAGAGCCATAAGGCTAATAGCACACAACCATGAAGCTACATCAGATGCAATGAGTATTGTAGTTTTTATTTTGGATCTGTTTTTAACTGATACAGAAACCATTGTGAGGAGAAGGAGAGGAGATGATTAGATGTGTATAAAAGATGGTGAAGAGATTAGTATTTATATGGATAATAATAGTTTGAGAGTTTTGTGTGGGCTTTAGGTTCGAAGACTTTGATATTTTGGTTGTTTATTAGGCAAGTTGAGTTGAACTACAATTTGGCGTGTACTTATTTTATGTTCACCAAAATTATGCGAGACCGTTATGGTTTATGAGAACTTGATTAGGTAACCAAAATATTCAGTTTGACATATGAAAAAGTTTATAGAAATACTGTTTGGAGCCAAAGTTAATTATTTGGCATGAAAGTATACTACAAATTAATTTCTCCTGGGCTGGATGTAGCCTTTCAATAAGTTATATATGTGAGTACTATTTGGCTGCTAACTCGTAAACCATGACGCCGACATTCAATTTAAATAGTTAGAAATTACAAGTTTACATTATTATAAAGACATCACGACTCTAACTGATTCCTTTCTGATAGGCCATTGACTAAATGTAAAATCGAATTTAAATGAGTAATATTAGTACTTAATATAAAAATGAGTTCCTTAAATTAGGAACAATATTATATTAACTTACTTTTCTTCTCGTAACTAACCTACCATCAGCAACATGGACAGGTTTTAAATTTCTATTACCACCAAATACGTAACTGTAATAATTAATACCACCAAAACCTCGCTTGAATTAACAATAATTTACTAAAAGAAAATACCAAATGATAACTAAAGCACTTCCGGAATAGAATTAGGAGGACGAATCTCAATGTCAACGAGAACTAAAATGATGTGTTTGAGCTAGTGGGGAAGGTGAATGACGTGAAGGAATGGTTAATTACCTTTCCCAATAGACCAATGGTATAAAGTTTATTACATTTAGTGTTTAAATTAATCCAATAAATATATGACATGTGTCTTTAATAATCTCATAATCTCAACCAAGTATAATATAACTACAGCAAATGAATATAATTTAATATAAATATCGAATGCCGGTAAACTTTTATCATATACCGATTCTTGGCGAAAGCGTAGCCATCAAAACCAAAACGAACCAAACCTAAAACCTAAACCCCAAGTCAAATAGTAATAGGATTGTGCCTATATTCATAGACTGGACCAAATGCTCACTTTCTTCTACAATTGTGTTCTGGCTACTTGCACTTCGCGTGCTCAAATAAGTTTCAAACCATCAGCTTCTTGACCTTGTCAATCCCTTTTGTGCGCTCTTTTTTGACATGATTTGAATAATTGCAATCATTTGCGGCAAATATTAGGATGTATTTATTAGTAATACTCTGGAATTAACATGAAATTTAACAAATATATTATTCATTCCAAAATTTGCGCACTATGTATCTTTATTTAACAAATACTACCATATCATTCTTGAACAATTTATTTCCTTGTGTGTGAGGGAGGTTTTTGGGTTGGGTTGGGGGGGGTCCCCTCTTTAGAGCCCAAAGAATAAAAGAATGTATAAATCTGGCACCAGGTGATCTTGCACACCAATCATATTCTGTCTTTTCCTTAATCACAAGCATGTATAAATCTGGACACCTATTTACATCCTCTTCCAACATTAAATCCCCAACCATATGTGAAAAAGACTCTTATTATGGTCACCACACTGTCCTGAATTGAAGCCCAAGATAGACTGTAGTAAAATTTCCCTGTTACACCCCAAAATAACTGCTGTGAATAAATAGTTGGGCAAAATACCTTACCACGCCCCCTAAACTTGACACGGATTATTAGTTACAGCCTTAAACTATTCGTGGTCTTAATTACCCTCCTCAACTTGTCCTTTTGAGAGCGATTATCCCCTGGATGTTGATGTGGCAAAGAGTGTGGGTGCACTCACCTGCCACCTAGATTTTTCTGTATATGTGGTATTTTTTTTAATAATAAAATATATTTTTACCTTTATAAGTATGTTACTTTTTTAGATAATTTTTTTCGAATAAAATTTATAGTAGTAGAACTACATTATTTAGGCTAAAAAAATTTTATTTGGCTAAAAATATTAAAGTTTTAGTTAATCTTTTTTTGAATTTGACTTGGCCCAACGACGGACACTTGTCGACGCGTTTCTTGAGGGCTAAGGTCGGATAAAAAAAAATCTAGAAAATGTAAGAGACTCTTCCTGATGACGGACTACTTAGATAGTATTCTTGAGGGAAGTAGTCTAATAATTAAACAAAAAAAAACAAAAAGAAAAACAAAGCCAAAAAGATTTTTTTTATTTATTTTATTTTCTTTTTAGGTAGTATAGTAATTCCCCCTTGGTTTTTCTTTTGACCACGGTTCTTTTCCAAGGGTTTTATTTGAACCGGGTGTAGTTAGCTTTTTTTTTTTGGGAGTGGAGCCATTGTGTTGTGTTTTGAATTGAAGCAATATCTCTTGACTTGGTTATGCCTTGAGAATAGTGAGTACTTTGGCTGTGACGCTTAGGCTCAGTTTTTGAATCTTGTATAAGTACCTTAAATTGTATGCTCTTAACTTTGCTTAACTGTTTTGACTAGAGTGTCTTGATGAAACCAATCCTGAGTGAGTTATGTGCCATGTGTGTGTAAGGATTTGTTATATTCTGTGCATTGCATTTGATGCCTAGAACTTGCCCCGTGTGTTTGCAAAGCAAAATAGTAGTTTTGTTCAGTCTAGGAAGTGATATAGGCATTTCTTTGTTGACCCAGATATGTATATTTTACCCGCCTAATTGTTATGTATCGTATTTAACCCCTTTGAGCCTGTAATCCTGTTCTTTGGAAACCACATTACAAGCCTTACCCATTTGTTTGATTGGACTATCTAGTTGAACCTTTTAACCTCTCATAAGCACTTGAATTGTGATGATTTATGTAAAAGTTAAAGTGTGGGGTGGTTGGTTTGGCTTTTGAGTGGAACTAATGAAATCAGGAGAAAGGTGCACTGTTTTGAACAAGTAAGAGCCACTTGAATTGAAAGAAAAAAAATATATATAGTTGTATTGCTGTGAAAAAATATATATATATCGTTAATAAGTGGTGACTCTTGGTGTAATTGTGCTTAAAGAAGTATGGGGTAATATACATTGATGTGAAGGTGGAGTTTGGTTTGACATAAGTATGGGGTTTGAATGTTAAAGTATATGTATTAAAGTGCTTAGGGAGGTGTAGTCACTCTTATATCTAAATATATCCTACCCGTCCCGTAGCTTACATTACAACCAAATAAAGTCCTAATTGATCCTAGATTGAATGAGCTCGATTAGTGGAGTAGTACACTACGGGCAAGCTTATGGTACATCTTTTGTGGCATATGAATGTTATTTCTGAGAGTGAGTGAATTCTTTCTATCTTGAGTCCTAAGTGTTCTTAAATTCTATTGTGTGGAACTCCTCTCTTTTGTTGTGTGAGGGCACTTGATTCATGAAGGAAAGGTAATGTCAGTGACTTCTATGTTAGAGTAAGTGGGTAAGTTGTGAATAATGCGTGGTAGTTGTGAGTCCAATATTGAGGTGAAGATGTTACGCTTTTGTGCTTAGTCTATTTTAAATACTCTTGGTGTGATGAGTTAGGAGAATTGCTTAAAAAGGTATTCTTGCCTATGCGCTCAATTTTAAGTTGCTCGAGGACGAGCAAAGATTTAAGTGTGGGGTGTTGATAATAGGTAAATTAGACTATAATTAGGCCCTAAAGAACCACATTTTTGTATAGCCTTTACGGTAAAAAGTGATAACAAAATGCTCTGATTAGTGTTTTTCATTATTTGCAGGCTATATCCAATAAAAGAAGTCTGTGGAGTACTTTTGGGATCAAATACGGAGAAAAGGAGGACAATCATACAATATCCACAAAGTGAACCAAGCGAAGGGACAAAGCCAGAACTGAAGCTGGTCTGCCGCTGTCCGGGCGTAACCGCGGTAGGACCGCGGCAGAACACTGCTGCAGATTCTGAAGGCCACTCTGGCCGCGGTCCTGGCGTAACCGCGGTAGGACCGCGGCAGGACGCGTAAACTTCAAGGACCAAAGTGCAAAACACGGAATTTTAAGCCCTAAACCCTATATTAAACGAAGGAAGTCGGCCAAGAAGAGAGAAGAACGATTTTTGGAAGTGAAAAACATAAGAAGAAAGGGCAAGAGGCAAGGAGGATCATTGGGCATCAATTTTTAATCTTCTTCTTTGTTCTTTCACCTTTGAATATGAATTCTTTTGTTGTTTTCGTTATTGTCATGAGTAGCTAAATACTTTAATCTAAGGTTTTGGTGAAACCCGTTGGGGATGACTTGGCTGTTATATTAATATAGTTTTGAATTGGTTGTTAATCTCTATTTGTTCATCTATGTTTTGATTGTGGTTAATTGAAAGGGCCCTCAATTATCCGTCCCTATTTAGTGTGTATCTGCTTGAGAGAGAGTGCATATTTAGGTAATTGTATGAACAACATCACTCCCAGAGTATAGACGAGAGTCATAACCGAGGGTTTAGAGGTTGGGTTAGAGATAACAATACCTCGGATGCAATCTAAGTGAACTGTATTGTGAATCTAGCTAGCGTAGCTTGAGAAAGTGCGTCTAGTAAATTATCATAATTGCTTGAGAAAGATTTATGATAGCTGGAGCGTTCATGATTGATAGAGACAACTAAGTCTCAGTTATAAAACATATTCAACCAAGGAAATCAACAACGGGGGAAACCATTACCTTAGACTTTATTCCAATTATATACAAGCAAGCTTAGTTAACTTTCAGCTTTATTTATTTTCAGTTTAGTTGTTAAATATATCATCAACTGTGAATCACAAAGTTTGGGGAAATTGATTGTGTGAATTTAGTAAGTCTGACAAGAGTACTTGATACGTTAATTCTCTATGGTTCGACTCTGGGCAGAATTACTCAGACNTAGATGTGCAGGTAGAACGGCTCTTACAGGTACTGCAAGAAAACAAGACTGCCATTGGCTGGACCATGGCAGACATAAAGGGTATCAGCCCAGCCTTCTGTATGCATAAGATTCTCTTGGAAGAAGGGCACAAACCTTCAAGAGAACATCAACGAAGGCTGAACCCAAACATGAAAGAGGTAGTAAAGAAGGTGGTAATCAAATGGTTAGATGCGGGAATCATTTTCCCCATCTCTGATAGCAATTGCGTCAGCCCTGTCCAATGTGTGCCTAAAAAGGGGGGAATAACTATTGTGCAAAATGAAAACAATGAGTTGATCTCAACTCGTACAGTCACAGGGTGGCGGATTTGCGTGGATTACCGGAAATTGAACGCCGCCACCCGGAGATCAAAATATTTCGTAATTGATTTAGCAAAAAATAAGTTTTAAATCTATTGGACTTACTTAGTGAAAATAGATTGAAAATCTTTAGCACAATTAATATATTAATATATCATATATTACAAAAAAAATTCAGAATTAAATTGAATAGATGTATCTAGGGAGAATTCGCTTTGAAGAAACTATTCCCTAGATACACATGTCGTGTTATTTCACAATTGAATCAAATTTAAAAAATTTAAAAAAGACCTAAAGGTTAGGGATTTATCAATAGGTAATGTTGCACCAATGCCCAACCAAAGGGCGGCTGCGGTACCAATACAAAAAGACAGTCGTCGCTACTGGACGGACGAAATGGTATTTTGGTAATTTTATTAACATTCTACTAAAAAAGGTACTGTTAATAANAGCAATATTCTTTGATTCCTGGATAGCAGTAATTTTGATTTCCCAAAAGACTGGCAGAACCCTTGTTAAAATCTTCTCAACTTTGTCTTCTTCAAGGATAATCCTTCCAAGAGACTTAAGTTCATTTGTCAGTGTGGTGAACCTTGTATACATCTCTTGGATGGTTTCTCCTTCCTTCATGGTGAAATTCTCATATTGAGAATACAGCAGTGTTCCTCTGGACCTCTTCACTTGAGGTGTTCCTTCATGAGCCACTTGCAAAGTGTCCCAGATTTCCTTTGTAGTGGTACAGCTTTGAATTTTACTGTACTCATCTGGACCTAGTCCACACACAAGCCATTTCTTGGCCTTGGAATTTTTCTTCCACTTCTTTAGGTCTTCAGTAGTGCAGTCAGCTCTTGTCTTTGGCACATCCACTCCTTCAGCATTCTTCTTTGTAGTTGTTAGAGGACCATCAGTGACTATGTCCCAGAGTTCATAGTCTTCTCCTATGATGTGATCCCTCATCATGTTCTACCACCAAGAATAATACTGTCCATTGAAAAGTGGAGGCCTAGCAGCGGATTGCCCTTCCCAGTTCTCAGGTGGTGCACTCATGTTGATCTTTCCCTAAGGTGTTAGCCTCTTCGAGGATAGCCCGCTCTGATACCAATTGATGTTCTCAACGTCAATACCACACAAGAGGGGGGTGATTTGTGTGGTACCCAATTTTCGCTCTAGAAGAACCTAGTACTTCTAGGTGTACTAACTACAACTGTTTGCGGAATAATAAGTACATAAAATAAAGAACACAGAGATTTTTACGTGGAAAACACCTGGCTCAAAAGGTGAAAAAACCACGACCTAATATTCAGTGAGATTTTCCCAAACTTCCACTAAAATCACTGAGCCAAAACAGCATTTACAAAACTCTTCGTAAACCTAAGGATTAACTCTAATCCCGTTGTAGCACACAGCCTCAACTGTTGCGATAACTTCAAGTTAGCATATAACTTGAACACTCTAAGTACCTAATACAATTGCTTCTATGAAAGCTGAAAGGTACAAGTTTAAATCACCTATTACAATTGAACTAGAAATAAAGAAAGACACAATGGAATTGGTTCTTCTATCTCGTTCAAGTAGCTTCAGGAGTGCACACTCACATCTCACATAAATTGCTTGCAAAATCGCCTTTCTCTTTTGCTCTCAATTCAGTTTAACTTCTGCGTTTGTGCAATTCCTGTAAAAGAGAACAGTCACTGTTATTTAATAGGTTAGTAATTAGAGTATGATTGGGACTCAATTGCTGATCTTCTATCGAAGTTGAGTCCTTGAACATCACAAACTCCAACACTATCTTTTATCCGGATTGTGTTTTCTTCACATAAAGAGACTCTCTCCCCTTATCCAATATGCAACCTTTTCGATCATATCAGGAGATATTGCTGCTTAATCAATGGGACTTATCTCTTTCACGTGAATCTCACATGTGTAGGTTGATCATGAATGTGCTTCACATTATGGACCTGGTCCATGACTGAGTTCATTTGTCATTCTTCAAAAATTCACCTGTTCCTGAGCCGACAGTTTGGAAACAACAAGTACCTTATAAAAGTATGTTCATCGCAACATAATTAGGCCATTGGTATGACATGTAAGTCCTCTCTGATTATTTTTTTCTCCTCTTTCTATTGTTATTTATTACAGAGTGATTCTAATCAGAATAGGTGATTCAAATTTTTCTTTTATTTTTCATTCGGCGTCCGGTACTTATATTGAAGTCCTGATAATAGGTAAATTAGACTATAATTAGGCCCTAAAGAACCACATTTTTGTATAGCTTTTACGGTAAAAAGTGATAACAAAATGCTCTGATTAGTGCTTTTCATGCTTTGCAGGTTATATCCAATAAAAGAAGTCTGTGGAGTACTTTTGGGATCAAATACGGAGAAAAGAAGGCCAATCGTACAATATCCACAAAGTGAACCAAGCGAAGGGACAAAGCCGGAACTGAAGCTGGTCTGCCGCTGTCCGGGTGTAACCGCGGTAGGACCGCGGCAGAACACTGTTGCAGATTCCGAAGGCCACTCTGGCCGCGGTCCTGGCGTAACCGCGGTAGGATCGCGACAGGACGCGTAGTAGGATCGCGACAGGACGCGTAAACTTCAAGGACCAAAGTGCAAAACACGGGATTTTAAGCCCTAAACCCTATATTAAATGAAGGAAGCCGGCGAAGAAAACAGAGAACGATTTTTGGAAGTGAAAAACATAAGAAGAAAGGGCAAGAGGCAAGGAGGATCGTTGGGCATCAATCTTTAATCTTCTTCTTTGTCCTTTTACCTTTGAATATGTATTCTTTTGTGATTTTTGTTATTGTCATGAGTAGCTAAATACTTTAATCTGACGTTCTGGTGAAATCCGTTGGGGATGACTTGGTTGTTATATTAATATAGTTTTGAATTGGTTGTTAATCTCTATTTGTTCATCTACGTTTTGATTGTGGTTAATTGAAAGGGCCCTCAATTATTCGTCCCTATTTAGTGTGTATCTGCTTGAGAGATAGTGCATATTTAGGTGATTGTATGAACAACATCACTCCCGGAGTATAGACGAGAGTCATAACCGAGGGTTTAGAGGTAGGATTAGAGATAACGATACCTCGGATGCAATCTAAGTGAACCGTATTGTGAATCTAGCTAGCGTAGCTTGAGAAAGTGCGTCTAGTAAATTATCATAATTGCTTGAGAAAGATTATGATAGCTGGAGCGTTCGTGATTGATAGAGACAACTAAGTCTCAGTTATAAAACATATTCAACCAAGGAAATCAACAACGGGGGAAACCATTACCTTAGACCTTATTCCAATTATATACAAGCAAGCTTAGTTAACTTTGAGCTTTATTTATTTTTAGTTTAGTTGTTAAATATATCATCAACTGTGAATCACCAAGTTTGGGGAAATTGATTGTGTTAATTTAGTAAGTCTGACAAGAGTACTTGATACGTTAATTCTCTGTGGTTCGACTCTGGGCAGAATTACTCAGACTATATTTACTACGTCCGTGTGTGTCTTTTTATAAGGCATAGTTTGGCGTTATCAAATTTGGCGTTGTTGCCGGGGATTCAAAGGTGTTATCAATTACAATTTAAAGAAATACAAAAATTCTAAGTGTAGTCAGTTTTCTCCATACCCAATCTTTCATTGAAATTCTAACGTTTGAACTCTTGTGGAAATCAGGTGTATGCCTAGAAGTTCTTCTAGGACTGGAGAACTGCTAGAAGGATTCACAGACCTCCAGAAAACATTCAGGGCATTGAACCATGCCAACAAGAGACTTCAACAATCCCAACAATCACACCAGCTCGAATTAAACATGGGTGACGTAGACAACGTCAACGGAAACGTTGGGGACCCACCAGCAAACCCCAACGCAAGAGTAGTGGCACCTCTTGTGCCCGAGGCTGCACTTTATGACTGGGCACAGCCCACAGCTGATAACCTGGCCAATGCCATAGCTGTGCCCGCAATCCAAGCGGAGACTTTCTAGATAACCAACAATATGCTGCATCTGCTACAGAATAAAGGATTGTTCTCCGGGTCACACATTGAAGACCCGCAGCAACACTTGAAAAAATTTCTGTCAATTTGTATGACCCAAAGGCAGCCAAATATGACCCCGGAAGCTATCAAGCTGTTACTGTTTCCATTCTTTGTGACCGGGGAAGCTCAGACTTTGTTAAATTCGCTCCCTATCAATTCCATTGCCACCTGGGAGGAATTAGTCAAGCAGTTCCTGAACAAGTTCTATCCGCCAAACAAGACTGCAAGACAGATTGATGAAATATTGTAGTTTAAGCAGCAGCCGACTGAATCCTCGCAAGAAACTTGGGAAAGATTTAAAGGGATGCTAGTGAAGTGTCCTCACCATGGCATTCTAGATCAGATGCTTGGCCAGAGATTCTACATGGGGCTAGCTGACTATTTAAAAGCAAATGTGGATGCTTCAGCTAGAGGTGCATTATTGAGTAAGACAATCACCAAGTGCAAAATCCTTCTTGACAAGATGTCACAAAATTTGGGGTGGATGACTAGAGCTACAACACTGGCACCCATAGTGCATTCAGTTCCTCTTGACCCGAACAATTCACATGCAGAGAATATGGCCACACTCATGACCCAGATGAGCATATTGACGAAGAAGATTGATGAGATGGGCACAAAACAGGTGCTCATTGTTGATACAACAAATGGGGGACTGTGTACACCTTGTATTAATCAGTCCTATGTGTTCTCATGGAGCGGAGAAGGCGAAAATCAAGGGCCACGGGAAGATATGAATTATGTCAACAACTATGGAGGTTAGAGACAAGGAGCACATCAATGGAGACCGCAGCAAAATCAGCAGTACATGCCTAATATGCAACAGCCTGGGCGTATGCACCCTCAAAACCAATTAGTGCCAGTACCATATCAGAAACCACAGGGCTATCCACAGCAAAATCAGCAACAATTAGCTTATCAACCGCCTGCTCAGCAGCAAGATAACAATATGGTGGAAATCAGGGGTATGCTTCAGCAACTCGTTGGGATAAATAATAAAGTGCAGGAAAAATTGGCAGTGCATGATTCAGCAATAAAGAACATAGAAACGCAGCTGGGACAGCTGTCCATGGCTTTGAACAACCGTCCTCAGGGAACCTTGCCTGCAGACACTAACATAAACCCCAAGGAGCAAAACCCAAATCAGCTGATGGCAGTAAGTCTCCGGAATGGGAGAGATTTAGATAGAGAACATGAGAATCTACAAGCCAGAAAGGAGAGTACGACAGTTGCTCCAGTTCCGTTAGAGGTGGAGGATCCAACAGAGCTTAGTGAAGTGGTGATCGAGCAGAGTCAGGAGAAAGAAAAGATGAATGAGCAAGCTGCAGAACAGGTGGCACCTCTTGTGCCAGAAAATTCCAACATAGAGAAGCCAGTAAGTAATGCACAAAGGGTGATACCTGCACCCTTCCCTCAGAGACTGGTTAAACAAAAGAAAGAAGTTCAATACAAGAAATTTATGGAGATACTACGTCAGATTCAGTTGATTATTCCTTTGATGGATGCTTTGAGGGAGATGCCTAGTTATGCAAAGATGATGAAAGATTTAATGTCGCGAAAGTTTGATTTTCAGGATCTATCCACTATGACTCTCACACAGACCTGGAGCGCAGTAGTGACAAGATCGATGGCTCAAAAGATGTCTGATCTAGGTAGTTTCACTATTCCGTGCACAATTGGGAGCTACACCTTTGCAAAGGCCTTATGTGATCTGGGGGCCAGCATAAATCTAATGCCGCTGGTTGTGTACACTAAATTGGGCATCGGCAGAGCTAGGCCGACTTCTATGCTGCTACAGCTGGCTGATCGCACGGTGAAAAGGCCAACTGGTACTCTTGATGATGTGTTGGTGCAAGTAGGGAAGTTCGTGTTCCCAGCAAACTATGTTATCCTGGACTGCCAGGTAGATGAGGAGATACCTCTCATTCTGGGTAGACCGTTTTTGGCGACTGGTAGAGCACTGATCGATTGTGAGACTGGGGAACTAAAATGAGACTGAACTGTGAGGAAGTCATATTCAATGTTCAGCAATCTATGAGAAGACCCAGTGAATATGCTAATTGGTCTTTAGTGGATGCAGTAGATGTGATTCTGCAAGAGGACGACGCGACCCTGACTGTGAATGACCCATTGGATGTATGTCTGAAAAATCTAGAAGAGATGGATGGTGAAGGGTTAGCTGAATGGGTCATGGCACTTGAAGGCCGAGGATTCTGGACAAGGGAACCTCAATTTGAGTCCCTTGAATTAGAAAAAAGGGCTACACCTCCAGCAAAGCCATCAATAGAAGAACCACCCAAACTGGAGCTAAAGCCACTCCCAAATCACCTCAGGTATGTGTTCTTGGGACCTGATTCGACCTTGCCTGTTATAATATCATCCGGTTTGCTAGATGTGCAGGTAGAACGGCTCTTACAGGTACTGCAAGAAAACAAGACTGCCATTGGCTGGACCATGGCAGACATAAAGGGTATCAGCCCAGCCTTCTGTATGCATAAGATTCTCTTGGAAGAAGGGCACAAACCTTCAAGAGAACATCAACGAAGGCTGAACCCAAACATGAAAGAGGTAGTAAAGAAGGAGGTAATCAAATGGTTAGATGCGGGAATCATCTTCCCCATCTCTGATAGTAATTGGGTCAGCCCTGTCCAATGTGTGCCTAAAAAGGGGGGAATGACTGTTGTGCAAAATGAAAACAATGAGTTGATCTCAACTCGTACAGTCACAGGGTGGCGGATTTGCGTGGATTACCGGAAATTGAACGCCGCCACCCGGAGATCACATTTTTGTTTCTTAGATGGATACTCGGGGTACAATCAGATATCAATAGCCCCCGAGGATAGAGAGAAAACATCCTTCACCTATCCGTATGGCATCTTTGCCTTTCGGAGAATGCCTTTTGGGCTTTGCAATGCACCAGCGACTTTTCAACGGTGGCCATCTTCACAGATATGGTGGAGGATATTATGGAAGTCTTTATGGATGATTTCTCCGTGGTGGGAGATTCATTCGAAGACTGTCTTCACAACTTAAGCAGAGTGCTCAAAAGATGTATGGAGACAAACTTAGTGCTAAACTGGGAGAAGTGCCATTTTATGGTACAAGAAGGGATAGTCCTGGGACATCGAGTGTCCATAAAAGAAATTGAGGTCGACCATGCTAAGGTTGACGTGATTGAAAAGCTACCACCGCCCACTTCAGTCAAGGCGGTGAGAAGCTTTCTTGGGCACGCCGGGTTCTACCGGCGTTTCATAAAAGATTTTTCCAAAATTGCTAACCCACAATGCAAACTCCTTGAAAAGGATCAGCCCTTTGTGTTTTCTAATGATTGCAGGTTGGCATTTTAGGAACTAAAGAAGAGGTTGGTAACTGCACCCATCATTGTTGCACCCAACTGGGAGCAACCTTTTGAGCTCATGTGTGACGCAGGCGACTATGCCATAGGAGCAGTCTTGGGGCAGCGAAAAGAGAAGCTGATGCACCCGATTTACTACGCAAGTAGAACGCTAAGCTGTGCACAGCTCAACTACACTGTAATGGATACGGAGATGTTAGCGGTGGTGTTTGCTTTTGACAAGTTCCGATCATATCTGATTGGTTCCAAGGTAATTGTATACACTGACCATGCAGCTCTCAGGTACCTAATTGAGAAGAAGGAGTCTAAGCCGCGCCTGATTCGTTGGGTGCTGCTATTGCAAGAATTCGACCTCGAAATTCGTGACCGTAAGGGCACAGAAAATCAAGTCGCTGATCATCTATCACGACTTGAAGGAGCTGAAAAACCAGTCGAGGTCGAAGAAATTCTGGAAACCTTTCCAGATGAGCAGCTGCTTACAGCTACTCTGGAAGATGCGCCATGGTATGCAAAATTTTGCAAATTACCTGGCCTGCGGTATAGTTCCATATGACCTTTCATCTGTCCAAAAGAAAAAGTTCTTTCGTGATTGCCGCATGTATTATTGGGACGAGCCTCATTTGTTTAGAATATGTGTTGATAATATTATCCGGAGGTGTGTCCCCGAGATAGAACAATCTTCTATTTTGCAGGCGTGTCACACATCAGCATATCGAAGACATTTTGGAGGGGTCAGGACAGCTGCGAAAGTGCTAGAGGCCGGATTCTTTTGGCCAACTGTGTTTAGAGATGCGCACCTCTGGGTCAAGGGCTGCAATGAATGCCAGCGGACTGGGAACATTTCCCGTCGCCATGAGATGCCAATGAACCCGATTCAAGAGGTAGAGGTGTTTGATGTTTGGGGGATTGACTTTATGGGTCCGTTTGTCAGCTCATTTGGTAATAAGTACATCCTTGTTGCTGTGGACTACGTGTCTAAATGGGTAGAGGCTGCAGCGTTGCCCACTAATGATGCAAGAGTGGTGGTAGGATTTCTGAAAAAGAACATATTCACCAGGTTTGGGACACCAAGAGCGATCATCAGTGACGGGGGCACTCACTTCTGCAATAGAGCCTTCGAGAAACTACTTGCAAAATATGATGTACGCCACAAGGTGGCCACCCCTTACCATCCGCAAACCAGTGGGCAGGTTGAAGTGTCCAACAGAGAGATAAAAAGTATATTAACCAAGACGGTGAATGCCACACGAACTGATTGGGCAAAGAAGCTTGATGACGCACTCTGGGCCTATAGAACTGCGTTCAAAACACCAATAGGTATGTCACCATACAAGTTGGTATTTGGGAAGGCCTGTCATTTGCCTGTAGAGCTAGAACATCGAGCTTGGTGGGCACTAAAGCAATTGAACATGGATCCTGACGCAGCTGGACAAAATCGGCTGACAGAGTTGCATGAGCTGGAAGAATTTAGATATCAAGCCTTTGAAAGCATGAGGCTATACAAGGAAAGAATGAAGAAGATGCATGATAAACACATTGTGGACAGAGACTTCAAACCCGGTGATAAGGTATTACTGTATAATTCAAGATTGAGATTGTTTTTGAGTAAGCTAAAGTCCCGATGGTCAGGACCATTTAGAGTGGTGCAAATGCTCGCAAGTGGAGCTGTTGAGATCGAGTCAGAAGATGGGACAAACAAGTTTTCAGTAAATGAGCAAAGGTTGAAATATTACCTTGGAATAGCTGAAGAAAAAGGGGATACAATGATGATCAATTTGGAAGAACCCCAGTACGCAAATGAGGAATGATGGCGCAACTACTTGCGTCGTGCCGCGACGTTAAATCAGGCACTGCGTGGGAGGAAACCCACGAATGTGTTGTAAGTATAGTATGTAACGTCATGTTTAGAAGACCAAGAAAAAAAAGGTTGAGCGATTCTTAATTGCGCTCGTGTTGCGTCGTGCCGCGACATTAAATCAGGCGCTTCATGGGAGGCAACCCACGCTAGTATAATTTCTAACATATTGTATATATGCAGGATAGTGCGGAGGACCTTGCATCACGAGCCTGGGCATAACATGGGTAAGGTAGGCATTAAAAGAGGTAAAAATAGTGCCTAAGGGGCAAAACAATGAAAAGAACCCCGAAATTGGCATCCAGGAACAGGCCCAGACCGCGGTCACGGCGTAACCGCGGTAGGACCACGGTCAGAGATACCCTCTGATGAAGGCACATCGCGGTCACGGCGTAACCGCGGTAGGACTGCGGTCGGTCGTCCTCTCTGATGATGGTTCACCGCGGTCACGGCGTAACCGCGGTAGGTCGGTGCGCGCCCAGGTACATCTACAGAATTTTTTTTTTCTTTTCCTCCTTTAATTAACCTAACCTAATAACACCCTCCCCATAACACCCGCCTCTTCTCCCCTCTTCTCTCTACTTCTCTCCTCTTCCTTCTTTCTTCTTCTTCTTCCCAAAACCCCCATTTTTATTCCTTCTTCTTCTTCCTTTCCTCCAACCAAACCCACCACCCCACTTCTCTCCTCCTTCTTCTTTCTTCTTCTTCCCGAAACCGCCCCCCTACCTCTCCAACCCCCCCCCAAATCTGTTCTACTTTTTCAAGTAAGTTATTTTTCCACCAAGACTCCGCTGTAATTTTCAAGTAAGTTGTTCTACTTTTTCTTTTATTTTGTGTACTTTGTATTATGTAGTAGTTACTGTGTAGAATTCTTGATTTTGGTTGCAATGGGGTCTTAGACTCCAAGTTTGGTGTTGTAGATGGTGTTTGGGGTTGATTTGTGTAGAAGTGGGGGTGTGTTCTTTGTTGACAATTTTTTTTGTGTGGGGTGAAGTGCAGCATGTGGCTTGGGAGTTGTCTCTTTTGTCAAATTACTCGACTATGGAAGGCCATGTGGGGGGTGGTGGTAGCACTTAACAGTTATTAATTTGTGGAAGCTTGCGTGGAGTCTTATAAGGCGGAATTGTAGCATTGATAGTGGTGTGGGGGCAATAGTGGATGTTGTCAACTTTGGCACCTTACTAGATAGTTGTACTAGCCATGTTTGACAAAAGGGAACTGTTTGGTGCCAGCGGGTGGCGAAGTCTGAGTACCCATCTGACTGGCACATTTAGGCTGCACCTGATCGTTATACTGTTGATTGCAGGTACTATGGCCCGAAAGAAGTGTAGGAACACGGAAAGCACTTCCGAATTGCCGACGTATGATGCCACCCGGTTCGAGTCACAGGAGGCAGAGGCCAGGTTTCATGCTAAAGCTACAAAAAGCTTTATCCTTGAGATTGCTATTGACAGGGCTGCCCTCCGTGTAGAAAATCCGGACATGTACGAGGAAATCAGACGGAGGGGGATGGAGTTCTTGTTCGAGGAACCTGAAACGGCCAACCTAATGATAGTACGGGAGTTCTATGCGAACTGCCCAGAACATATGTGCCGTTCGGTGATTGTGCGGGGCAAAGTGGTATATGCCTCATTATTGAAAATTCGCCAGGTTTTGCAGCTGCCTCCGTTCACTGGTGAAAATGATTATTACTATAACTCCCCAGGGGTCGATTGGGACACTCTGATTGAGACAATATGCTTAGGGGGATGGCCAGTTTGGATACAGGAGTACATGAGCCTTC